TTATCCTCATTTACTTTCAATCTGTATGCACCCAGCCAACTTTTTAAGTATATTATTTTCTCTGATACTAATTCAACCATTTCCGTCACCGACTGCACATCCGCACTAATGATAATTGACTATTGATTTTAGTTTGCATATGGCGATTTAAATAAGTATGTTTAATTGTTTTGTTATTTACTGTCGCTAAATGAGGATGTATTAAAACAGTCCGGTTATAAAAAGAGGAAATTACTACAGATAATCCGACGGGGGCAGTTTTTTAGTTACATCATGCGGAAGAAAGGAATAGAAAATCTAACATCGACTGGAAAGATTGCAGAGAAGAGATCGGCGTCAAGAACAAATAACATTCGTGAAGTTCTAGTGTCACCTGTTGAATATTACTACATTTCCACTACTACAAAGTGTTAAAGATTGGGTTAGGTAGAAGTCGATGGTCGCCAATGTCCTGAAAGGATAAGGCACGAGAAAGAAAACTAGAACAAGTACTTCTATATACGCATGCATATATATATATATATATATTTATATATATATATATATATATATTTAGTAATGTATATTAACTGTATGAATGAGTGTCCGCATGTGTTTGTTATGCATCTGTTATATGTTATGTGTTCTAATGCGTTATGCCAATCACTATTTATACGGTTTCAGCTGGTTGAAAATCACAAGATTGCTGTGGCTTTTCTTCTATGCCGAAGTTTCTATATAACGAATTTTTTATGTTCCTGGGAATTTTACATATAAAACTGTTTCAATAGAAAAATTATTTTCTATAACACAAAATTTATAGAGGTTAAAAAAATATTAGACCAAACATTTTTTGAACTGATATGAGCGGTGTTCAATCAATCAATCTTCGTTTAGTTCCCCGAGGTAGGACGTTGTTTTCTTTGCCATTGACTTTTTGCGCCAAATTAGACGATCAGTTTTATCCATTTTATTTAAATTTAGAGCTTTCATGTCTTGTTCGATTATTTGCGACCAGGACTTCTTTGGACGGCCTTTGGGACGTGTGCCAGGTACTTCAACATCTGCAAGTGAAGTTATGGCACTGTTTCCACATCGTTTGACATGACCAAACTACCGCAGACGGTGTTGTCGGCATTTATATCATCTAAACCAGCACGATGCTGAATTTTGGTAGATTTAATGTGGTCCTTCAGACTAATTCGTTGCATCCATCGAGCCTTGGTGAACTTTAACGCCGATGTCAAATGCATCTGTGTTTCCAACCGTTGTGCTGACGAGAGTCTTAGTATTCGTATACATTTCCATCACAAGTCGAATAAGATATTCTGGAATGAGTTGTCGACGTAGACTCCATCTGATTGCTTCACGGGGAACTCGATCAAATGCTTTTTCAAGGTCTACAAAAATGTGTGATAGTTGTTGATGCTTTACGAGGTACTTCTCTTGCAGTTGCCGAATGATGTGAATTGCATCAATTGTTGATTTCCTCACTAGGATACCATATTGAAAATTTCCGATTGTGATGCACGACATTAATCTTCTCTCAATGATTTTCTCGACAATTTTCAGGGAGTGTTTTAACAGACGTATACCCCGATATAATGAACAGTTCAATGGATCGCCTATGCCTTTGTATAGCGGAACTGTCATGCTATAGTTCCATTCAGTTTCTATACACTTCACGGCAAAGTTGTAGTAACGTTTGGATACCTGCAGTACCAGATGCTTTGATAATGTCATTTGTTAATCTAGAGGGCCCTGCTGCCTTTCCATCCTTCATAGCTTTCAGAGCTTCTGTAAGCTCCTTTACAGTGATGTCTGGAATCGGACCTTCGATTGGTGGAGCATCAAAGTTGACATTGATGGGATTTGTTTCATTTAACGATTTCCATGCTGCGGCCAGTCAGTGTTCCAACATTGAGCGTTCCAAGTCTGAGTACCATAGAGGGGCCATTCTGAACTTTTCTGCAACATCCCTCCACTATTGCATACTTCCCAGGGATTCTTGGCACCCCTTGACCATTCAAGGCCTGCTGGAGACTAGGAGCCGTTGTTTTTCTTTTTGATGGCATAGGAATAATTTTGGGGAAAGTTTTTACATCCTGACACCCATCCTGACGACAACGACCAGTTATAAGCGGTGGGCCTAGCCTTTTGCTCAAAGCCACGCAAGGCAGCGTGGATAAAGTTTTATGTCATGCCCAGGACCATAAATTCCTGGAACATATATATTGTTTCTTGTTCTAGTACTCTAGTAAATTTTTGCGTATTCTACCTCAATTAATTTCAATAGAATAGGAATCATCGTTGCATGACTAAATGAATAAATTTCGCTTTTAAAATTTTATTTTTTGCAATTTTACTATGAATTATTATCTTTTTTAATTATAAATGACTAAGGTTGCTTTTTATAAATATATAGGATATAAACACCTTTTAAGCAATATAGAATTTCTTCTTAAAAACTTTCTTTGTCCCGAAATTTCTATATAGCGGATTTATTTCCTGGAACCATCAAGTTCGTTGTACGGAGGTCCGACTGTATTTTAAAATAATTTTTTTTTTATTTTTTGGTTACAATTTATTGATTTTTTAGTTTATTTTAAAATTTCCATCTCTATCACTAACATAACAGTGTTTCAAAATGTAATTCCATTGATAAGAATTGTAAACCAACTGAAATGAATATGTTTTCAACGGTTAAACAAAAATTTGCCAAAATACATTTTGCTAAACGACAAATTTGCCGAACGAACGAATTATACCAAAGTAAATTAACGTTGGAAAATCGCCAAGGGAAAATTAAAATTGTGTACAAGTACTCTAAGTTGCTCAAAATAAATTTGTGTTGGATCATTTGCAGCAACGTAATGATTAATTATAATTTCATTAAAACTTTGTTGTTTGTGGTAATCATATTTTCGGTTGATTTGCTTCTATCACCTGACTAAATTGTTGATGCTGTCCTACGGAATTATTAGTTTTAAGAATTCCATTTGATCATTGTTATAACAATTCTATAAATTTATTGATGCTTCGAGAGGGCGTCAATTATTTTTGAAAGTTGACCAGTAATTTAACAAAATAATCAAACAGTAACAGTAAATATTTGGCAAAATGTCTTTAGGCAAAATATCGTTTCGGCAAATGTCTTTTGGCAAAATGTTTTTCGGCTAATTGGAGTGATACGGTTCTCAACTAATTGAAAATGTGATATTGCATTTCAGGGACAGCAGACAGCTTTTGGAATATTTGTCTAAAAAAGGGGTTTGTTTTTAACTTTTGTTGCAATTCATATGATTTAATTGCTTGTTTCACCAGTTTTTATTAGTTCAATCAATTTGCGCGTTCCCAAAGAAAGTGTTCCAAATGGAGAAGATTTTTCAAAACCGCAACCGCGCATATCTGCAAACTACACGTCTGTACCCACAGGATACGGGAAAAGGCAACCATCTTTATCTCAAGTTTAAAATCAGAAGATAGCATTTTTAGCAAAGCATATTTGTAACCATATAGAAATAGATCTATCTTCAATAATTTTATTAAAATATTTATTAATAAAAATAAAGTTTCAATTTTAAACAGACTCAATTTTGTTGATATAAAATTTACTAAGCCAAATTAAAAATACAATTAATACAATAATGTATGAAATCTACAAAATTTCTAGTGTTGGATAGTTTTTTGTTACATTTCTCAATATTTCTAACCATATTCTTTTTTATGTATTGTTATAACCGCTGCAATGATCAAATTGCTCTATGTCATTTGTTATATTGATTATTCATTATCTTTGTTTTATTTGAAATCTTTTGAGGCTATGTAAGGTCTTGCAAAAAGAGGTTTATCGAGGTTTGAAGCGAAGTCGTAAATGCGATTTATTTATTAATAATTACTTGGTTTAGTTTGGTGTTTCTATTACTGTTGGTATTCAAATAAACGTTCAACTAAGTTTGCGTTTGAAGCAGTTTTGTTCATCTATCGGAAATCTTGAACCTACAGAATAATGATAACTTGACGATCGTTGGAAGCTACAACACTGGTGTTGGAAATATTGAGATCTTTGAAGTTATAACATTGATGTTGGTAGTAACGAATGTCGAAGGTTATAACATTGGTGTCGGAAGTAAGGTTTTTGATTGCTTGAAATTTTTCTGCAGTAAAGAATCCCAGCATTATTAGAGCTCGATAAAACTAATCTGAGGAAGAAACTTCGAAGAAACTTCAGTTAAAAGTAACCTCGACTCAAAAGGAATGAAGACAGTTTTGATGAACTAAGGGACGCTCTAATAAACGAAGGTAACGCACCTGATGAACAACAGTTTACCGAAATGAATAGAAGATGCGAACAATGAATAGAAGATCAAACAACAGCTCGTCGAAATGAATAGAAAATTTGATAAACAAAACGACAAGATCGATCAACAGGCAACCGAATCAGAAGATATTGGTAGCCGCGATGAAATTACAGGCAACTGAAATGTCAGAGATACTGAAAGAACTAAACGACAAAAAAGAACAACAGTCAATACACTTTAAGGTGGAATTGAAAAAAGCGATTGATAAAATAGAAGATAAATTGCCACGCCCTGGGAGAGCTATCAGACTCATTTTGAAGCAAAAGCATTCAGTTACGGGTGAAGGTCGAAAGAACGAGCGACGGCATTGGTGTTAGCACTAAAGGGCTCCACTTTGAAGGTATTGCCAAGGACCGTGACAACTTAGATATTCTAATCGACATGTTAGACTGACGCTATGGAAACAAATATATTGAAAACCACTACTTAACACAACTCGACCACTGTACGCAATAACCAGGGAAGCTGCTTAACAACTAGCACAAGACATAAAGAGGCTGACCCTGCTACCGCACCCAACAGGTACCCCTGAATTCAAGCAACTAGCGTTTATTCAAGTTCTATGAGTCCCAGATATATGATTTCACAATATCAAAGATAAAAACACTTGAGCGAGCAGTATACGGCAGTGGAACCAGGAAAGCTAATGTTGAAGAAAAACACAAGAATACGGCAAATTCACGAAGAAAATGAGTGTCGAAGGATTGTCTCAACAATAGGAGACTACAAACTACTAGAATGCTGGAACTGGAAAAAAGGGCATATCAGGAAATATTTTAAGTGGCTTCAGAGAAGTAACGCCTATCGGGGAAAAGATACGTGAAAAACCGACTCTCAAAGAGATGCCAGCCGCACGTCTGCAGTTAAAACCAACCTTGTGGGTGTCAGGTTAGCTAGGAAAGCCAGAGCAATTTGGTCTATTCTTAGACGAAACATGGCAATGGATTCGAAGCAAGATAAATCTAGCAAGGACCGACTTCAACCGCCACTGGAGGAACGGCACCTGTGTACGGAGAAGTTTTCTGCAGTGTAGAGATGGAAGACACACGTTTGAGGGCACACGTTCCATGTGGCAGACATTATCCATGAATGCATCTTGAGCATCGACTTGATGAAGATGATGAAGTACGGCTTCCACCTAGATCTGAAAAAACGTGTTTTAAGATGTAGAAACACGGAAGTGCAAAATGCACCCAGGTAACGGTCGGTGGTGATATAATACCAAGTCAGACAGAAAACATCATTGAGGCAAAACCGAAAAACAATGAATGCAGGAGCTAACAAATTGCCCTAGAGCCGACACCGATGTCCAAAATACCGAATATCATGGCTGGAATATGCCTGATAGAGGTCAACGAAGGCGGCAGAATTCCGATCTAGATAATGAATGCATCGGAGAACCCAATTAGAATAAAAGATCACAAAGTGATTGGCAATTTCCAACCAATGACGAAATGCACCGAAACGTGCCAATCAGAGAGAAGGCACGGAAAAGACCAAAACTCGGTATGAGCTAAAAAGCGATAGCTCAGAGTTTAACAAAAATGACTTCATCTGGCCGTAAAACCCACGGCGTTGCCAAAAACTCCAAAGATTGCCGAATTTAGGGTCATTAACAGAATAAATTACGTGACTTACATGACCCAAGATCATAAAAGACAGCGAGCAAAGATGAAGATCATTTGGATAGGTTAGCCCCCATTCATCAAAATAAAGAAATAACTAACGCCTACATTAGGGACTAACAGGCTGGTATAATACGGAACTGAAATGAATTACTAATCTGCTAGTAAGCAATGGCTACAAAACATCATCCATTCGACAAAGACTACAAGAAGATAGTAATTAGGGATGCACCGGATTTAAGTTTTCCAAGTTCGGCCGGGGCCGGATTTAAAATTCAAAAACCGGTCGGGACCGGATTTTAGTTACCATTTTACATACGTTAAAAAAATACATTTACGGTTATCTACATGTTGAACATCAAAAAATAACACCAAGCAAATAGTTAATTAATTCAAATATATGAATAAGTTGTGTGATATGCCAAATTCTGTACACAAAGATCAGCTTATAATTTGTGCATAACCCGTGTTATAGCATGAAGAAAATTGTCCAGCTCACCTCACAATTATTTATGTTGTTATTATGTGTCATGTATGCACGTGCACAGCTTATAATTTATGCAAAACCCATGTTATAGCACAAAGAAAATTGTCCAGCTCACCTCACAATTATTTATGTTGTAATTATGTGTCATGTATGCCTAGCTTAACCTTTAACATACCATGTTCTTAAATTATGCGCTTATGTATCTATATATATATATATATATATATATATATTGTTATTTTTTTTTGGGTCTGGACGCAAAACGAAGATTGATTGATATATGTCTATATATATATTATGTAGCTATATGATCCATTATATACAATTATATAGTATATACACGTGCACAAGTTCCTTTACACAAAAATCAGCTCATAATTTATGCATAATCCATGTTATAGCATAAAGAAAATTGTCCAGCTCACCTCACAATTAGTGATGTTGTTATTATGTGTCATATATGCTTAGCCTTTAACTTAGTGACATAAAATTAATTGAATTCAATAAAAAATTTTTCTATTTATAACATTTTTAAATGTTGATAGACGCTTAAATCCGGCCACCAAATCCGGCCGGGGCCGGATTCGACCGGATTTGAAAAAAAAGCCGGATTTTTGCCGGAGCCGGGGCCGAACTTCGGTGCATCACTAATAGTAATATATTTAAAAAACAACAATAACAATTAACAACGACATAATACTATATATTACAGAAATCATATATCAACGGCACATAAAATAGACAAAGTCGTCCTCCAACAAATCATAAAAAGAAAAATTACACGTTTATTTTTACACGTCAGCTCCTTCACACGTACATGGCAATTTGTTGGACCTCGTAATCACTCATACCAACAACAACAACATTTGTAGATAACCTAACCGTCAATGATTGCGTTTTTTTCAGATCACAACATTGTGTTCTTCAATTCAACGCTCTTCAAACCATCATCGACAATCATCCATAACTGCCCTCGCAGATTTCTTGGTTTAAATTACGCGTCATTCGAAAATGATTTAAACATAGCATTTGATGATTTGCTCTCACAAGATTTGAAGGTCGATGAGTTTGCGTAAGCTCTAAACACAACTTTAAATGACATCTTCAACAAACACGCACCAATCAAGCATTACTCGTTTCGTGAGAGCCCCCACCTCGTTATTCTTTATTCTAAGAAGCAATAGCTGCTAAAAGGACCATACACACGCCCATAAATACGTACACACGTACATATATACAAACAAACGAAAAAACAAAATTTAAATTGTAAAAATTTTATTTTTTTAAAAATAAAGTTCAAAATGGAGATGTTAGATACATTGTACAAGTGCGCCAAGTTCCATTTTGAATGTGGAAATTACACAAGGTCTTCACAGTATTTATATTTTGTTAGAGTACTGGTAAGTCTACTTACTTTTTTATGTTTCCATGTATTATTATAAAATAACTTTTAAAAAAATATTCATGAAAAGTTGCCGCCCAGCGATCGAAACTTCATGAACACAATGTGGGGCAAGTTGGCCTCTGATATCCTCATGCAAGATTGGGAGAATGCTATTGATGATGTTTCAAAACTGAAAGAAGTTCTTGATAGTAATGTTAGTAAATAATAATTTCAAAAATAACAATGGATAAAACTATAATAATTTTATCTCATGATTCACACTACTACTTAAAATTTAAAAAAATTTGATCATATCAAACAAACATCAAACGATTATTTTATCTCATATCATTTCATGTCTTGCAAGTACCACACTTATTTTTATTAGTTTTCTGGTAAATTACCCTAATCATAAAAAAATAAGTGCAATTATGACAAACCGACAAACAAATGTCAACAGGCCTTCAAGCAGTTTTATAGTTGTACAATTTAAAATCACAAGATTTAGTAGCAGCTTGTAGCATAGTTTTAAAAACTACTTTGTGTTTTTGACATTTGCTCAATTATCGATTTAAAAAAATCTAATAGCCAAAAAATCGCTAAAGAACTTGAAAATTTTTGAATTTTTGACAATATATTTTTATATAACAAAATAAAACGAAAAACCAAGTAATATGGACACAAAAAATTATTAAAGAACATATAGACATTACAAAAAACACTTACAAAAAACGTTTGCTGTATATATAGGGAAATATTGACTTTGTCAAGATGAACTTTGACGTTGTAAAAATTGTAGTGCACGCATCTTAAAATTGCAGAAGCAGTCCTAATTGACATCAATAAACCAAAAATAAATATACAACAAAAAATGACAACCTCACTTCCAGCCCGGCGCTTAACCAACAACGAAAACAAAGAAGTAATAAAAACTAGCATCGTAAATAGTGACAAAGAAGAATATGATGCTATCGATGAAAAAAAGGAGACCAAAGAAGATAAATAAAGAAACCTAATTCGCATCAAAGTTCAATTTTACAACACCAAAGTTAATTTTTACATCGTCAAAGTTCATCTTGACAAAGTCAATATTTCCCTATATATACATCAAGGAGCTCTGATGATGATTCATTCGGAATCGAAATATGGCCTTATTTGCAGCATGAATTCGAAAAATAAGTTTATTTAAAAAAATAAGTTAAATAAAAATAAGTTAAACTACAAACATATTAACGCCAAACATTCGGTAGAATTTACAGAATATTGTAAAAATTATGGTCTATTACCAACATATATATATATACTGTGTCCCTACTGTGTATACTTTGTTGATTCCTTGTTTGTTCAAAGTAAATACTTAACGCTCATTTAATTATAGTTTTGCAATCTGAATATAACACTTTTACGTGTTTTTTTTATTATTCTTTAAAAATCAGGATCTGACAGACGCAGAAACTGTAAGAACATGCAAGGCAGTAAAACAAAATTAAACAAATAAGTGAGAAAATAAATACAAAAAGTGAGGAAGAAAAATGATAAAACATGAAAAATAAAATATGCTAGAATAAAATAAATAATAATAATAAGAGAAATAAAAGAAAAGTAATTGACGATGGAATATAAAATGAAGTAACGGCAAATTGATAGACTAGATGATGACTTAGTGAGTTGATCGATAAATAAAGGCTAGGTCTGTGTGTGAAAAAGTTTAATGAGTATTAATATATTTGATGACTTATTAATAGACTAAATGATGACTTAGTGAGTTAGTGAGGTGATCGATTAAAGTGAGGTGATCAATAAGTAAAAACTAGTTCAGTAATGATGAAGTTTTCTTAAGTGCTAATATGATTAAGATGTCTTGTGATGAAGGTCTTTTCCTGGTATGTAGATTGGGCGACGACTTGATATTTATGTTTGCGCTGACGAAGGTTGTGTGTTGTAGTTTTGATTGGTGATAGCAGAGGATGGATGACGTAGTTGTTGTTATTTTCTATTTTCTTGAACAGCCTTGAATCGAGTGTGATTAATATCTGAGTGACGGTAGGATATGATGCAGGTAGGTAGTTGAAGCGAATTAGTTTTTTGATAAGGGATTGTAGCTGCTGAAGTTGTTGTTGCGTGGCGAAACCAGACCAGGAGGGAGCTGTATATTTGATGCGTGAGATGATGAGTGATTCGGTGATGTCGAATAATTTGACGCCTCTGAGACCATGTGAACGGAGTGTTTTGAGTGCGTGAAATGTTTGAAAGCCTTTTGTGATGATGTAATTGATATGAGGTGCTATATTGAGTGTGGAGGTGAATGTGATGCCTAATATTTTTAGTTGATTTGTGCGAGTGATTGATGGGTGTTCAGGAGGTAATTTTTTTTACGGCTGTTGTGAATGATGAGTTCAAATGATTTATTGAGATTAAGTGAAAGGTTGCATCGTTTTGACCATGTGGTTAATGAGTCGAGTTCTGATTGGATGGTGTTTGAGTTAGATGATGAGATGATAAGGTAGGTGTCGTCAGCGTATTTGATGATTTGATTTGAGCTATGGAAAGTTTTGAGAGTAGAAGCGTTAATGATAAAGGTGGATGGACCAAGGACAGAACCTTGAATTACGCTAGAGTTAATAGGTAAAGTAGATGAAAGAGTAGAGCTAAAAAGAGTAGAATGACTCCTATTAGATAGGAAATTAATTATGATATTGTAAATGTTGTCAGGTAGTGGAAGAAAGGCTAACTTATTTGAAAGTGAGAAGTGATTGAGAGTGTCAAAAGCTTTAGAGAAATCGAGGGCAATAAGATGAACATAATTATTATTTTTAAGGAAAGATGTTATTGTGGAAGTAAGAGAGATGATGGCGGATGTAGATAAGCCTGTTGGTCGAAATGCGAACTGATCTTGTAATAGTGGTTTGATGGATGGATGATTGAAACATGGATAGATGAATAATCATTGATTAACAATGCATACACAGAATGGTGCAATTAAAAATTATCTAATGGATTCACACCAAATAAAAATTATTTAATCGGTGGAATGAATTACATATTGTCAAGAATTTGGTCTCTACTTGCATTATATATATATATATATATATATATATATATATATATATATATAAAGTTATAAGAAATATCACCGCATTTGCCGCATTGTTGAGTTTGTAACCAAGTTGTTCAATTTTTCGAACAATTATTTTATCAATATTATTCAAATTAATAATAAAATGAACATTAATGAAATTTACGTGAAAGCTTTTTCGGTGACCATTATAAGGGTAATAGAGTTTGTGATGTTGTTATATGAAGTTTATCAGGTATTTGTAGTATTTTTAACAAAGGAACTCTAAGTTCCGTTGTTAAAAATACTTGTTTCAAGAAGGAGAGGTTTAGGGTGTGGAGAAGGGACATGAGGGGGGAAGCGGAGTTTGAGTATAGGAAGGCTAAGAAGGCTGCAAAACGGACAGTGGCAACTGCAATGACGAAAGCATCAGATAGGTTAATGAAGGAAATGGAATTTGATGTGAGTTCGAGGAAAATGTTCAAAGTAGCAAAGCAGTCAATGAGGGATAGAAAAGATGTTATAGTGAATGGATATGTTTGGGATGGATCTGGCAAGTTGTGCATAGATGAGGAGGAAAAAGCTCAGGTATGGAAAGCCCATGTGGAAATGTTGATGAACGAAGAGAATGAGTGGGGTGGAGATGTGGAATCCGCGGTCACAGCGGACCCATAGAGAAGGTGACGATGGAGGAAGTAGAGAAAGCAGTTTGAGAAATGAAAATAGGTAAGGCGACAGGGGTTTCGGAAGTGGCTGCGGAACATATAAAGGCGAGTGGGGTGATAGGAATTGAAGTTATGATGAGAATTGCTAACAGTATGTTTGATGATGAAGGTATACCTGAGGATTGGCGACACAGTGTGTTGGTGCCGTTGTAAAAGGGCAAAGGAGATGTGAGAGATTGTGGGTCATATAGGGGTGTGAAATTGCTAGAGCATGGAATGAAGGTAGTGGAGAGGGTGCTTGAGAGGAGGTTGAGAAATATGGTGACAGTTAATGAAATGCAGTGTGGGTTTATGCCTGGTTGGGGAACGGTGGATGCGTTGTTCATAGTGAGAATGTTGCAGGAGAATTATAGAAAGAAGAAACGAAGATTGTACATGTGTTTTGTGGATCTAGAAAAGGCTTTTGATTGAGTACCGAGGAAGGTCATTGAATGGGCGCTGAGGAAGAAAGGAGTGAATGAGAGACTTGTTAAAGCTGTGATGCAGCTGTATGAAGGGGCGAAGACAAAGGTGAGTGTCGGAAGGTGATGTCGGACGCTTTTAGTGTTAAGGTAGGAGTGCATCAAGGATCAGTGTTATCACCATTTTTGTTTGCAATTGTGATGGATGTTGTGTGTGGAAACATAATGGAGGGTTTGTTATTTGAGATTTTGTATGCAGATGATTTAGTCTTGATGGATGATAGCATGGAAGTATTGCAGTTAAAATTTGACAGATGGAAAAGTGTTATCGAAAAGAAAGGGTTAAAAGTTAATATTGGTAAGACGAAGGTAATAGTGAGTGGGGAAAGTGGGGAGCGAGTGATAAGTAAAAAAGACAGGATGTGACAGGAGACAGGAGAGTGAAGGCTAACTCGGTATTGCGTATAGGATGTCAGAAGTGGATGTCGGTATTGCGTATAGGATGTCAGAAGTGGGTGCATAAGAGATGTAGTGGTGTGAGGGGGGCACTGAAAAAGGTGGAAGGCACGTTCAAATGTAAGAAATGTGTTCATGGTGTGATTAATAGGACGGACGCAAGGACGGGGTTGAGTGGTGGTATTGAAAGAGTGGAAAGCTTTGTTTATTTAGGGGCTAAGCTGAACGCGGATGAAGGATGTTTGAGCGCTGTTACGGCTAGAGTTCGTGTGAAATGGATGAAATTTAGGGAACTTGATGGGGTATTGTGTGGAAAGAAATGGTCAGTGAAGATGAAAGGGAGGGTATATAAAGCATTTGTGAGAGCAGCGATGGTATATGGTGGTGAAACTTGGGTGTTGAGGAGAGAGGAGGAAAATGTACTGCAGAGGGCTGAAAGAGCTATGGTGAGGATAATGTCTGGGGTTAAAGTGAAGGATATGAGGAGTAGTACAGAGCTGATGTCGATGATGGGACTGAATCAGGACATTGTGACATTGATAAGGAGATTGCGGTGGTATGGACATGTGTTGAGAAGGGATGAAAGGGTCGGGATTAGGCGAGCGTTGGAGTTCGAGGTTGAAGGAGTGATAGGAAAGGGTCGTCCGCGATTGGGATGGAGAGAGCAGGTGGAGAAAGACAGAGTGAAAGCGGGATTACGTGATACTGAGGCGAGTGACAGATTTGAATGGCGTCGAGGGGTATTTAGGTTTCATCATAGGTAGCCAAACGGCAACCCCCGATCTCGGGGGAAAATGTCGTCTAAACGTGTGTTGTTAAAATTCGATCATTCCCGCGGTTATAACAGTATGTTTGCTAATAGTACATTTTTGTTAACTTTTATAACTTTTGTTCAATGTTGAGAAATAATTAACGTTCTTTAGAAACTGATTTATATTTTTAAGATTCCAATGGACAACTAAAAAATTCACTTGGTAGAGTTTTACGATTTATAGAAAGTTTGGTTATAGTTAATATATTCTTTAGTGTCTCTGACGCTGTGTCTAAGGCGCTTGCTAATTAACATTATTATTTTAATTATTAATTAATTATTGATAGTTAATTATTATTAATTATTCAACAATAGTCGTAGATTAGTTTATTTTGATTCATTTAACGAAACAGATGTCATCACCCTTAGTTCTGCTTCAACAAAGAACTTGGTTAATACACTGGAGTCTTTTTGTGTTTTTCAATCATTCGAAAGGTCGTGACCTCATTATTGACATGTTCCTTTACAGTCCGCAGTTTGTATTTTTTTGTATTTAAATTTTTTAAATCAATATTCTGTATTTTTAGTGTCACCACAAATTTAGAATAAGTTTGTATTTTGGTTTGAATCTATTTCATTTTTTGAATTTATCAAAAACTTGCATTGAATTCTTTCATTATTGTGAAACACCTCAAGTTTTTAATAAGAATCTCCACTATTTTTTTTTTAAATTTTAGAATTTATTTTCATTCTTTTCTCAGTTTTAATAATTGATATCCCAAGGTTTTTTCTTTTTTGTTTATTATGCAACTCTAACATACGCAGAACTGCTTACATATACTATACTTAGACTATTCTGCCACAAAAGTTCTGCTGTCCACACCACACAACGTACAGATATACTTTTTAAGCACGCACACGCACGGCGTATGATAATCTTTGAGTTTCAGAGAGTATTTGCAATAGGTCATTGCATAATAACGGCACAAGACATGGCACATCCACCAATTCTAATTACCCTAATACATTATATTTTAATTTTTTAGTCCTGCATTCAAATTAAATTCAATTTAATTCTGTTTAGACTTGAGAATTATATTTTTAATTATCATAATTGTTTGGGATGTCTTAAAATGTATTTGTACGACTGGTGAATGTAAAATATATGTATTTTTACAATTTTATGCAAGTTCTTCTATTTTATTGAACTATCGGTTTCGCTAATCTGTTTAGGATCAATCAATCGATGCACCACTTAATTGATCAACCAAATACACTACATTTTCACTTTCTTTAAAAACATCCTGCTCCATTAGCACCTTATTGCGACCCATTCTTCCTAAGCGTTTTTTAATAAACTTATCAGTCAAGCTAACTAAATAATTAATTATGTTCCGTCTAATCATTATTTTTATATAAACAAAGCACGGGTTACTGTCCTTTCTCAAAATAGCTAAAAAACAAAGATAAGAAATGATAAATATAGAAATTAAATAATTGCACAAATTAAAATAATTTATTTTGTAGTTATCTGAATGCGATACAGACAATGTGTCCACACATACTGCGATATGTAACCTCTGCAGTGATCACCAACAGAAAGAGGAGACAAATGCAACACCAACAACTTTTGAAAGATCTTGTTAAAGTCATTCAGCAGGTTGGTTCATACACTTTTTTTAGATGGAATTTTTTCTATAGTAATTTTTTTTATTTTCTATCTATTTGATGAAACATTTTTACTTATATATTTTTTACATATTTTTACAAGTTACATGTGGGTCTGTAAACGTCCTTTTAATGTGTTTCAAATTAAGACATCCTTGAATTTTATCCAGGCAATAATAATCATAAAACTTGTTAAAAATATTTTATAGAAGGTCAATTGTAAATATTTTTTATTATGAAATATAACGTTTGTGTTTATTTTAGGAGTCATACAGTTACAAAGATCCTATTACTGAATTCATCAGTTGTTTGTATGTTAATTTTGATTTTGATGGAGCCCAAAAAAAACTTGTAGAATGCAAAACTGTTAGTTTTTAAAACTGTTATTCGGGTTTTTTTACACATTAATTCAAACAAATTTGATTTTCAAAGAACTTGGGAATCAAATTTTGTGATTGATTTGTTTTCATATACAGAATTGTAATTCATTAGTTTAATCCCATATTTTACTAAATTTTATTATCACGTTTAAATTCTATTATGTTTTGCTGCATTTTAATTTTTATTGAGTAATTTTGCATATTATTTGTAATTAATTTTGAGTTTTTTTATAGTTTTCAATACAAAGCCCTATTTACAAATTTGCTAGATATAGCTTTAGCTAGATGGATGGATGGATAAACGGATGGGCGGACAAAGGTAGATCAATAGACATATGGATGGATGGATAATGGACAATCCTCGTTTATAGTCTCTATCCTTTATGGGTCGAACTTTTTTATTCCATTCATCAGCTTCTGTCTCCTTGAGACCAAGTGCGTTCAAGTTCTCCTGTATGGTCTGCGTCCAGGACTTTGTTGAGCGACCTCTTGGGCGGGTACCAGGCACCTGGTGCTCAGTAACGGAAATTATTGTATCGTTTTCGCTTCGCTTCACATGGTCAAACCATCGTAGGCATGCATCCTTCAACGTGCACAGTCCCGATCGGTTCAGGATCTTGGTTGTATGGATATGGTCCCTTAGGTAAGCATGCCGCATCCAACAAATCATCTTCATGTCAGTTATGTGAAGCTGCTGTTCGAGTTTTGTTGTCATCGGCCACGCCTCTGCACCATACATCAGAACAGAACGTATAGCTGTGTTGTATAGCTCTGAGCGCAGCGATAGAGAAATGCTACGTCACATTAGTACCGAGGCAAGGAGGTGTCATCTGCCCCATGTCGCACGTATGCGTCCACGAACGGCGGCATCAGCTGTTCCAGTACAATCCAGCACATCTTCCAAATACTGAAATGAAGTAACAGTCTCGATCCCGGTAATCGTATCATCATCTGGGCTCCATTGTCGCGGTTTGATGCAGGCGTGGCATACAAAATCAGTCACTTTTCTCAGTGAGCCAGTAATTTTCTAGCATCGTCCGTTACATCACTGCTGACATCTTAAGCATTTGATCGAGTTGCTTCCAACTCCAGCCCCACAAACCTAACATGGTAAATGAGCATCATAGTTTTTGTTTTGTCAAGGTTTACCTTTAGCCCGTGTTCGGCGAGCTAGGTATTCCAGACCTCAAACTTTCTGGCTGCGTCTTGTTCCGAGGTCGCCGTCAGGACGATATCATCTGCATATATCACATTCCATATGTTATCTGAGCGTATCGATTTGGTTATTTCTTCCATCACCGTGATAAAGAGCAGGGGGCTGAGTATTGATTCCTGATGGACACCGATGTTAATGTCAAATTCATTTGTGTTACCGGCTCTTGTGCTGACCAGAGTTTTTGTGTTAGAGTATGTTGCCATAACCAGCCGAACCAGATAATCGGGAACAAGCTGTCTAGTAGACTCCACCTTTTCAGTCTTTTGGTCTGATTTGCTATTCGGTGGAGTGACCGAATTTGTTCGTCTTTATTTCCAGTCAGCCATACCTTAAATTGATTTGCACAAGCTATCGCAACCTGATATGTCGATTCTTTGTTCTTTGATAGGTATGTCTTTCGATCTTCATCAGGTTTCGTCATCTGCCATTGTTTGAAAGCTGCTTTCTTACTGGCAATCTGATTTGAATGAGGCATTTAAATGGACACAAGACTGGTTTCTACGGTTCAATATTGAAAAATGTACTTTAATGCACTACGGTTCAGATAATAAAAAATGTCCACTGTATATAAATGGAATACTTTTTGCTGAATCTGAATCCGAGAGAGATCTTGGAGTGATTTTTTCAAATAACTTGAAATGGAAAAATTATGTTATCACAGCATCAAACAGAGCAAATCAAATGATTGGTCAATTAAAAAAATCTTTTGGGAAATTTGGTTATAAGTTGCTTCGTAATCTTCTACCCAACTTTTATTCGTCCACTATTGGAGTTAGCAGTATCAGTTTGGTCCCCAGATCTAAAGGGTGGTAGTGAGGTGATCGATAGAGTCCAGCGCAGAGCGACCAAGTTGATTCCATCTATAAGAAACCTAGCTTATAAGGATCGCCTTAAAAAGTTTGGTTTAACAACTTTGGGAGAAAGAAGAAAAAGAGGAAATTTGATTCAGTTGTTTAAAATCATGCATAATATTGTCAAATTTGATTTGAATACTCGTTTTAGCATAGTCAAAACCATGACGCGAGGTCACAGTTTGAAATTAAAGAATTGGAAATAGAGGCAGAGAGAATTACTTATTCAATAGAGTGGCAAATACTTGGAACACATTACCAAATAAACTTGTTAAGGCACAATCAATGAACAAATTTAAAGCCTGACAGCATGCTCTCTGGATAACCTCCAGAACAACATTACTACTACTACTACTACTACTACTACTACTACTACTACTACTACTATTACTACTACTACTACTAACCTATTTTGTTTGTAAGATAGATGGGATGGATGAATGGATTCTAAATGTATTTGTGAATCCTGGTAATTTTGAATTTATTTTGTTCTTTTATTTAATTAGGCAACGGTAATCAATGCATAAGCATTACTTTTTATTTTTGTTGAGTTGCTTACTCGTATAACTTCTGACTGACACTGAAATTTGGTTATTATTGGGAGAAATCAATTTTCATAGTTTATTAATATTATTTTTTCAACTTTAATTTATGTTTCACTAAAAAATTCAGGTCATATCTAATGATTTTTTTCTTGTTGGATGTTTGGATGACTTCATAGAAAATGCACGCCTTCTTATATTTGAAACATTTTGCAAAATTCACAATCGGATCAGTATAAGGTTTCAATTAAATGTCAACAATAACTTGTCAAATGAACTTTTAAATTTTTTTCAAGTTCCTTTCAAATGTTTCAAATAATGAATAATGTGCGGAATTTTCGAAATAAGCAATTTTTATCACTAATTAATTTTTTGACTAATAATATAATTGATGATTGGTAAATAGGTTATTTGCAAATATGGTTAAGTACCGATGACTTTTTTAGTCTCATATGCGATGATGGTGTCTCATTTTGATGTCTTTTGTGTTAACAGTTTGTTGGCAGAAAAGCTGAACATGGATGAGGAAGAAGAGGCTGAAAGATGGATCGTCAATCTTATTCGCAATGCTCGTCTTGATGCAAAAATAGATTCAAAACTTGTTAGTCTTGATTGATTAGTCATATTTATAAAAACTCCAGTTTGTTAGATTTATACTTTTTTCTAATTTAAATTTTTTTCTAATTTCTAAAATTTTAATTATGTCCAGTTTTTCGTACTTTATCTATCTTACCTCTGTCTTTTCCAGGTAAATTAATTTTGCGGTAATAAATATTAAAGATTATCAATCGAAATTTTCTGTTGTATATTATCTGCATTCTGCGTACTTAATTTTCTCTCTTCAGATTAACTAAACCTGTTCTAGAATTGACCCGTTCATCTTCTAGTTCAGTTCATTATCTCTTGTTCAACTGCGCTGGTTGCCTATCCGTCGGCACATCTTCTAAAAAAATTGCTGTCATCACTAATTCGTCTTCGCTGAACTGTACATCATCTCCATCTTCATTTGTCTTTATTATATCTACCTCATCAACCAGTCAATAAATCAGCCCTTGTCTACATAGATATTTCAAACCTCTCCGTCAACAAACATCAACTGAACTTTTCAAAAAACGTTTAAAGCCAAATGGTTACCAGGGCATCTCCGACGTTGTGTAGGGTGCTATATATATATAAATGGCATTATCATTATTAAAGAACAAGATTAGCAAAAGACATATTTCTTTTTTTATTTTTCCTATTAAAATGTTACAGAAGTAAATTTCAATTATAAAGAATTGATTGTAATTAACTTTTTAAAATTAAAATTAAAGTCGTTGAATAAAGCATAATTTTGAAAATTACTGCAACAATTAACAGTCGAATGGTTAGATAAACAACATTCATGCTTGAGATTTTTAGATTTTGCAACCAGTTCATAAATCAGCCCATGTCAACAGAATTTTTTCAAATTTCCCTCTGTCAAAATCAATCTAAAGTTTTCAAAACTGTACGCATATGGCGCTGTATTATAAGACACATTATTATTATTAATTTTATGCCAGAAATGTTTTTCATTAAAACGTGAAAGTCAAAATTATATCAGATATAATGTTTGAAATTTTTTTTAGTGCAAAATTAACTTTTCATCTTTTAATGAATAAATAAATTGCCAATGACATTAGGGTTTGGTTGTGATGGGGCCACAAGCCACTTCCGCTTACCAGCAGGTGATAGAAAAAACAAAGAACTTAGCTTTCAAGACGCAAATGCTTGTGATGAATATTGAAAAGAAGTTTTCTGTTAAAGAACCAGAGGTTATTTTTATAATTACATTTTGCTGTTGTAGATTCATAGAGCGCGTCTATTGGCGCGTATGTTTTCTTTATGAAGCGTTGATCAGATGATGTTTTGAGCGTCTCCTGAAAACTTCATGACTGCAAAATTGGATGAAGCATCCGAAAACATTTTGCCCAAAAAGAGAAATAGAGAAATATGTTAGATCATATGTTAAATTTCTACTTTTTTTTTAGAAACAATCGATATTGGGTTTATTAATTCTTGTAAATAAGCTGGTCTCTACAGTCCTTTATACGCCATTTTACATATTAAATTTAATTACGTCAATGAAAAGCAAATAGTGTCAAACAATAAAGTTCATTTTTTATGTTGTAAGAAATGCAATTAAATTTTGAGACTTGAGCACTTGAGGATGCTGGGTTTAGAACCGATTGAATTGATGCCAGGTGACACTGAAGCCCCCTACACTCGTCAGTTTTAACTGTACAAATCTATTTGCGAGCGAACTGGCTTGTCTACAGACGTTAATTTTTTTTACTCAGTTTTTCGGTGTTGGCATATTAAAATAGTTTAAAATATTATTAAATCTTATATTTAAATACTTTGATAAAGTCGGAGATTCGTGCTCCTATTACTCCTGTTAACGCCGTTTTTTTAATTTGTAGTTTTTTTTAATTTAATAGTTACCATAGATATGGAATAGAATTCTTTAATGTATCTTTGTTTGTTACGTAGATTTTATTTTAAATTGTTACTTAGCCTACATAGGAACAGGAACGTGGTGATAAAATTAATTCAAAAATGCGCAGCTTAACTGAGCTCGCTACACACGTCAAGCGTTTTGCTCATTTCAGGATGACTCCGAATTTGCACGAGCCAGTTTTGAGGACTGTACAGTTCGACTGGATGGCCTACACACAATCAGTTTCTGTGCCAAGAACTGACGTGTTTAGGGGGCTTAAGAACATCATACGTTGAAGAAAATAATTTTTGTATGGCTATTCACCAAAGTTCATGTCTACTCTTTTGTAATATAACGTCTTATCGCACTTACTTCATTTGGCTAATGAAGATTTTTCATTAAGCCCAGTACACACTCGACACTGGTACGCAGTTATGTTGCGCAATTTTGGTTTCTGTGACGTGACTCGGCTTGCATACGAGATATAGGTCAATCCCGGTCTACAGGTTCGTTTCGTTGCAAGGTGAAAAATCGCACGTCTTTAGTTTCCGATTTAAAATGGAAAACTGCGATTTTTAAACTTTTTTACTTTAAAATTTTTTGGTTTGGTTTTATATTTTAACTTTACATTTTAATAATTTTATATTCTTAGTATTCCGTATTTGCTAATATTTCAAGTGAAATTTTAGTTTTTTTAAATTCAGAAATTTCCTTTTTTTTATTTACAACATACAGATTTTATTTAAAACGGTTTTCTAGAATTTTATTCCATTCCGTTTTCATTTTATTGTCAATTTTAATATTTTCATATTTAAAATTTATAGAAAAAAAATTAAATTTTTAAATTTACATACGTTTCTAAAACGAAGAAGAATTGTTTTTGAAAGGGTGTTCAAAAATTTATTATATTCTATTGTACCTTCTGCGTTTGACTACATAAAAGGTAGTGCGATAAATATAGTTGTATTGTGGACGTAAGACGGGACAGTGGTTCAGTAGGTCATCGCCATTAAACGATTCATGAAAGAATTGGGAAACATGTATACTGGTTTAAGGCTTTTGACGGCGTTCATCCAAGTTTGCAGTCATGAATGAACATCAATGTCAACTGGGTCTGAAGCGTACTGTCATGTCTTCACTAATGTTATTAGATGGAACAAGTTTTTATAACCATTCACGAAATTTCAGTCAAAACCTTCTCTAGTCATAAACTGCTGTGTTTTCATAATATTTATTACATAGTTTTTCAATAAACTACTGTTTTTCAATTTTTCTAATTGTTATTTGAATTAAACGCAGATGAACCAATGGACAGACTGACATTTGCAAGAATTTTTTGAAAATAAACAGTTTTATGGCTGTATTTTCTTGATTTTGTAATTTACGTCAATAAAAATATTTAAAACCAGTTTGTATTATTTTTGTCAGAAGAAAAAATAACAAAATATGTATAAATATCAATCGAGTTGAAACATTTAAACAATGCAACACATTTTTACGCATGTACCACATGTGCAAGTTTCATCACTGGTACAAATGCTCAATTTGAAGGTTACGTAGCACAAATAATAAGTAATCGAGAGATGGTGACGTGACTATCTTATTTTATATCTTCTGGGTCTAGACACTCGTTTATTCGAACAAACGGCTGAGTACCAAAGAAGCAAAATAACAATAAATATTGAGGTCACCATGCCTTGAAATTATATGGACGAAAAGATTTAATTCACACTTGCTTGATCAAGACATTTCAACAATTTTTAAATGAGTTATTTTTTTTTTAAATTTCTGTTGCCCGTGCAAACAGACCCTAGAAATAAAGTTTCATACCAATACAGTAAAATAAATCAGGGTCCTAACTAAATAATATCGGATGTTCTTCTTATACATGTTTTATAATGAATCAAAGATGTCTTTTAACGTGGAGAGATAAATGATCGCTTCTAGAGAAGGCACGATTGCAATGTAAACACTGGAATGGTTTGTCGCCTGTGTGTTTGCGATAATGCCGGGTAAGTTCATCTGATCTGGCGAACTTCCAACCGCATCCATTCCATGTGCACTGGTATGGTTTCTCTCCTGTGTGAGTACGCAAATGGGCCTTCAAATGGGAGCTTTTGCTATAAGTCTTTGGGCAACCAGGGCTTGGACACGCATGTGAAACTTGTCGCCTTTTTCCTCTGGCTTTTTTTTTAGGTGTTTGATTTAGTCGAGAAAATTCCAGGCCACCAGTGAAGTTTTCGGATATTGTGTGTTCTTGTTTTACAATTTGAAAGGAACTAGTTTTTTTATTTTGAAAAACATTCATGCCATTAGGTTGTCTCACAAAATACTCCGGTAAATCACATACGTTCAAATTTGAAAAAGATGTGAAGCAAGTCGAAGTGGTCACTGTAGATTGATTTTTGATTTGTTTCGCAAGTTTTTGATATGATTGCAAACTGTGGTCGTTCGGTAACAGTTCTGAGTTATATGTGGGAGGGGAACACGGAGGTGTTGTCATGTTTGATAAATTTTTGAATGTATTCGGGGTTACTTCAATGTTTCCTTGATATATTAATTGACTTGGAGATGACGGCGGCGAATCAGAACTTTGTAACGAGCCATTTGTTGGATGAAACGTTGATATTTCTTTCATGTAAGGATAATAATTTGCATAACATTTATTGTTTGGAGTTGATGCTTGTTGAGTTGTCTCTTTAAATTTGTTAGAAAAATTCGTGTTTTTATTGCTAAATAATTTATCGTACGATGGTGGCAAAATCTCATTTTTTTCCAGTAGTGATTGGCGTTTCACGCTTGATAAACTATTTTGTTCATCATACTGATTCCAAAAACTACAATGCAAACCTTGTTTGTAAGCCAACCATTTATCGGAATTTTCCAATGAATTACAAAAAACATCTTCTCGCTCTGATAACATCATATAATCGGGCGATCTTTTGTTTTTAAAATCCTTTTTGGTATAGTTTAACAGAGAACAACGATTTGATATTGGATGATCTAAAGACGCAACCGAATTTTTAATTTCTGATGTTTTTGGTAAATTTATCAAAGAAGGGTGTATGTTACCGTCACACGGATTACTAATAATGTGGGAATTTTGGTAATATTGGTTAACATTAATACAAACATTGTGACATAAATTGTAAGATTGATCCGTAATTCTTCTTACCTCATAATCTTGACTATTTGCACTGTTTACGTGCTGGTTGGAAAAAAAATTTTTAAAATTGGAGTTGACAGATGAATTAGTTAATGAATTCAAATCTTCCTTCCATTCGGTTTGATAAAGAAGGATGTTGTCATTTATGTAAGCAGGATAATAAAGTTGATTGTTGGTTATTTCATCTTCAAAGTTTATGCAACTTGCGCTATTTGGACTACTTGACAAATCGTTTTGTGATAAACTTTGCGATTTTAAACGTACCGCATTTGCAATGTTGTCATTGTTATTTATTGGCAGGGTTGTGTAATTATCGTCGTGCTGGGTGACCTGTGAGTCTTGACAAATTATACCATCAAAATCCTGAAGAAACTGTAAATTATTGATTATTAATTGTAATATTATATATTGATATATTTGATATATATATATGTGTGTGTGAGTGTGTGTGTGCGCGCGTGTGTGAGGTGTAAAGTCAACAGGTTTACAAATTCAATGATAGTAACTTTTTCTGAACATACGTTTTGAATATCAATTTCGTTGATAATATCAAAAAATTCTTCTTCCGTATATTCTGTATAGTTCTGAATTCCATCCAACCTTTCTAATATTGGAATTTCTTTAAGCATTTTAAATTATCCTTAGCTCCCAAACTTTTTTGTTTTTTTTTACAAATATATAAACATTGACTCTTAAGTAAAATGAAGGTAAATCAAATACAATCCCACGATTAGACCGTTATTTTAATTTTTTCCTTCAGATAGCTTCTTGAACAAAACTTTTAATAAAATTCACCACTACACAGAACATCAACCGATTAATAAAACAATTTCCTCATCATCTCTACACATGTGAACGCAGTTGTGCGCTGCGCTGTGATATAAACCAATCAACTTCGAGTATTTTATTTTCTATTATTAGAAGCTATATAAGTCTGGAAAGTTGGCTTTTGAAAAGATTTTCTTATGGTTTTGTATGTGAGATTGTGTCGCATGAATGTGCAGCATATATCAAACTGATTTTGTACGTGAATTTATTTAGTAATGATTAATATAAATAATGATACGGATTAATAATGTAATTACTGATCATCCATGTCCTGAGAGCATGCCACCAATTTCTCCTTAAATGTTCATATTTTTGTTAGTTGAAACTGGATGTTTTGATCTTTGTATTTTTGATGAAATACGTATCGATTTTCGAACCAGTTTTGTTCTTATTTTATTTACCCCTTACGTTACAAAGTTTTGCGTCATCCTTTCAACGTAGTTGAATTGTTCATTTAAATTGTAAATTTAGTTATTTTACTTGATTGTAAAGTATTTTTTAAAATTGAATATCGCAAAGAGGCGATTAGTTTCGCACATTAATACGTTTTCAGTTCATTTTTGCGGTTGATCGATGGGGTTTTACGAATTGCTAATGAAATTTAGTGTCATCATTTCACAAGCGATCATTTGAAAAAGGTACAATTTAAATATACCGCGTGCGAAATAATCCGTCCCACGTTTGAACATAGGTCTACATTTTTGGCATTAACTGTGCAGAGCGGAGAGTGGTTTTATGTTCTGGTGGTTTGTCTGTTTAATTTGAAATTTGAGCCATCGGGCCGATCAAACATAAACTTATGCTTATGAGTGTGTTTTGTTTTCTAGGTGATCGTTTGAACATTCATTCATTCAAATATTTTTATATTTTAAAACAAGATAATTTTGTGAATTATATAAACAAATCATAATAGCAAACGCCCCAGCATTTAATGAACTTTCAAAACATATTTTGTAAACATTGTAAACGGAGTTGGCTATGTACAGTACGGTGGAGCTGGCTAATTCTTAAGACTAGAATAAAAAATACAAATACTTAGAATACATATACAGGCCCTCAAACGCACCCTTGCACATTTTTAGTGCGCTTTAGGGTTTGGCGTCAATCTTTTGTTTGCATGAACAATTATTCTTTACTTTTACATTTACAATATTTTACATTAATAGTTTTTTAAAAAATTTTGTTCCTTTTGATTATTTTTTAATTAATTTATTTCATACATTTGCATATTTAAGCATATTTAGTAACTTTTTTGTTATATAACCAAGTTGATCTGAGATTGACAAGAAAAGTGTGACGCCATTACAAGGGGATCCCGCTGCGTGGTTCCAAACAATTTTTGGAACCGATGTTATTTGCATTAAACTTTATTAATATCGCAAGTTTTTCGCTAAATATTCGTTTTTAATTGTTAAATTTTATAAATGATATTGCAGTAGTTTATGTTAACCCAGTATGTGTAATTATCGTCCCTAATATATTTAGTGCATAAAACGTTAGAAATATACTTTTATTAACGTTAAAATTACACTGTTATTGCTCAATATACACATTAATTTTTAAAAATGTAAAAATATTAATTGAAGCATGATTCACGATCTTTTATCATATATCGTCTGTCGGCGCCAATCATGGATTTAATGGATATGGCATAAAAATTAATTTATAACAAAAATTGTTTTTTATTCTATGGATCGTCGTTGTCTTCGTCAGCGTCTTTGATTAATCGTCTAATCTAAAATTATCGCTTGCGAAGCTTTTGTCTCGTTTTTTTTTTAAATTCGATTTCGTATTGCATTTTATATATTATATACTATATCTAGTACATTTAAAAAAGAAAAGGGATTAGTATAATTTTCTGCATTTATACATTTCGTTTTATACATTTTACATTCCTACATACATAAGTAGTTAAGTACACATGACATGACATTGAGATTAAACTATTAGAGAATCTTAATTCTTAACTTATCAAAATAATATTAAAAACAATAATACATTTTTAATTAGAAAATATTTGCTTTGTGTTTGATTTGACAGACACCGATTCTCAACCAAATCAAAATGCCTGTGTGTTCCATTACAAAATGCCACTCAACTTATTTAAATGAAAATGTTACTTTACACAGTTAATTTAATTTAGACTATACTATACACTATACTGTAGTTATAAAGTATAACACTATACAATATAATTATAGTAATCAGCAAACAATTATATATAATAATATAATATAATAATAATAAATAATAATTGTAACATAATAAATGCATTAAATGGTAAGTTGTATAAATTATTTGTGCTGATATTAATTAAGTTAAATTTAAATTCAGACTGCCAAAGAATGATATTAAGAGAATGCAATGGGAAAATATCATTAAAAAATACATTGACAATAAGCATGAAAAAAAAAAGATTTTAATTTGTAGCAAACATTTTACACCAGAAAGTTTTCATAAAGTTGGTTTTAAAATTTTTCTTCAAAAAGATGTTTTTCCAACGATATTTGACAAGGTTAGTGTTACGTATATAAAAACCAATCATTTCAAGTTTCAGTCGTATAATTTAAATGTTTTTAAAATTATAATTTTGAAATTAAGATATTGTTGTCATGATAATTTTTCTGAAGTGTTCTTTATTTAAGTTATGATTTATTATATACCAAAAATAAACTTATTTTATTTTTTGAAGTTTGTAAACCTGCTACTATTATAATTTAAACATTTTATATTTTTAGCCTTCTTTAGATGTAAATTTAGTTTCCGATAATATTTCTGCAACGTTAATAACTGATGTGATGTCAAGTGTAAATTTGGTTCGTATTTTTGTATCTATATATTATCAAGATTGTGTTACATTTTAAGCCACCAAGTATTACAAATATCAGTTTTTATTATATATTTTTTAAAATTTGCTTTGCGTTAAGTTTTGTTATATTTATATTAAAACATAAGAAGCATGTTTATGTTTTATGTATAAGATAGAAACATAATTAAACATTTATCTTGCGTTCTGACCTCCGACCTGACCACCTTAAAGATATTAATTAGATGCCTTGCAAATGATAACATATATTCAAAAACGTCCAGTGTTAATAAAACTTTAATAATTTAACATTTCAGTTACCTTCAACATCATCGCGGCCAGTTGAAAAACCATCAACATCTACTGTTCGATTGGTTTGTATGTTTGACAGGTTATAACATAATATACGTAACAAATAAAATTTATTAAACTTTCTGCAACTCTCAAACACAAATAGTTATCTAAAGAAATTTTCATATGGCTTGCATTCATTGATGCTTCTATTTCAAAAAGCTGAATTGTCATTTAAAAAATTACTTTATGAAATTTTTGGAATATATACTTGAAATCTTGAAATGTAACAGACTGGCTTTGACGCTGAGAAGTTTGAAAAGGAAAGCTAATCAATTAAGTACAACATTGACTAAAACAAGGGAAGTGTTATAGAGCTGCAATAGAAGAATAAAGAGATATAAATTAAATGTTTAGGCATTTAAAGAAAAAATTAAAAAACTTGAAGAAATCAATGATGAACTGAACTATAGATTGGTTGTAAATTGCTGTAAGAAAATTTTATAAATTAAAAACTATTTTTTCACTATACATTTTTTGTTGAAATTGTATAATTGCTTCCAACCCAAAAATTTATTCTAACGTACAAATTCAGTCAGGATCATCTTGAGTTGTTCTTCAACTTTATCAGAAGTGCAGGTTTGAAAATATATAAAGTAATTTTTAAAACACTTCAACTTCGTATATTATAATTTGACTTAGGAAAATGCAATGACAATCTCAATGTACAACAGTTGGAAACCATCTTTAAACGAGTTTATTTCAGATGTGGGATTGTCCCTCGGTAAACAGGTTATTCAAAAATTAAAAATATATATCTTTTAGAAGATATTTTATGTTTATCATTATCTAATTTTTCAGGCAATGTACAGGAACAATTAAAGAAGATTCTGAATTTAAAATACCCAAAGAACAATTTCAACATATTTTTGAGGAAGCTATTTTAGAACTGGAGTTTCTAAATCAAAACACAATGTCAACCATTATCGATAATGCAGTGGCATATATTGCTGGATGGGTGGTTCGAAAAGTAACCCAGATGATAGATTGTAATCAATGCTGGCTAGCACTTGTTGAAACAAAAGGTAGAGTCGCCATGTTTTACCAACAGCTACTTATATTAAAGGACGACGGTGGTTTGGTTTTTCCTTCCCGTGGTGTCGTCAAGGTTATTAAAATAATTGATTTAAAAAAATTTTTGCTTTATACTTTTTCTATATCATCATCATAAAACAGTATACAAGAAAACATATATTACAATTGAATAACAATAGGAACAATGCATTAACAATCATTAACAACATTGCCAATAAAAGACAGCTACCAATAAACTATTCCTAACATTTAATAAACAGATTTGTCATGTAACAGAGAGGCAATTAAAAATGGAAACCGAACAACATAAAATGAATACTGAATCGGTAGTTTCAAATGTTTTTAAAAGGTTGGCCAATGAAGATTTATTAAATCTCAAAGATTATAAAACACAGATACATTTAATGGATTAAATAATCATTATTTTTGTTTACTTAGACTTATTGCAAAAACATATATAAACGTACGTTCATTTCATTTCGCAAAAACCACAAATCAAATAAAAATCCGTTCTAAATTTTATAAGTTAATACATTTCAAGGGACAATAAAATCATTTATCAATGAAAAGATTTATCATCCATTTGTAAATTTTGAATTGTTTGATTTACTTAGTAATTATATTTGTTTCATATATATATATTAAACATTCTTTTGCTATCTGTTGGTAAAATCTGTATTTTGTATTTGGTCATTATGTTTTCAAAAAACCCGTCACTCTAACATCTTTATTATTTTATATTTCATTTATTTTTTTATTTATGAAATCATTATTTTCAACATATTTCAATCATATTTCATTTCTAATTGAGTTTTCTCATTTGATTCATTTAATTGAAACAATAATGCATCAACAATTATTTCAATTCTTCATTGTTTTGGAATTTGTTTTTTCATTCAAAACATTAAACAATTAGCCTTCAATTTTTATTCCTTTCATAATTAGTTTTTGAAATTATGCTGACGACAAAAAATTTTTAATATTGTAAATATAAATTAAACCCCATTATTGAAAAATGTTCATTATACCTTTTTATATATTCAATTCATCAACTAACAAAATTATTTTCATGACCTTCTTTACCTAACATGTTTGCCTTTATATCCAATCATTTAATGTTATCAAATTTTTGATTTCAATTTAAACATGCATTTTTTTAAATTTCTTCATAATATTCAGTATTTTTTCTGCAAGAGTTTATTGTTGCATTCTCATCTGCATTTGTAAATATCTGATCATTAATCTACATCATAATTTTACCGCAGCAATATATTAACTAGATTCAAGTCATCATTATATCAACTTTTTTCATTTCAGAATATAAACTTAACAGTTTTAACCCTTTCTTTACATTATTTGTCAGTTTTAATAATTCATTTTTTTATCCAATTCATTTTTTCATATAAAATATAACTTTTTTGTGATAAACTCTAGATAATGTTATATCAATAGGAAGTTTCTTGGAAAAAAGATATCATTTCATTTCATTTACAATTTTTAATAAAATATTTTTAAACATTTGTCTCTTTGTTGTCAAATTAGTTGTCATTCACTTTCGTAAATGATTTGCACTTAAATATAAAACTATCCTTATTTTAATCGCTAAAAGTAAATTATTGAAAATACATTTAAAAAATTTATTTAAATATTACTTATTTTATCACTGATTAAATGTAGAATTAACACAGTTTGCTAAAAACAGTCCATTTTATATTCATGGCATTCAGATTAGTCATTAATTTGTTCTGGTTTTTATCAATAACTAGAAATTATTGTAGATTTTCGCCGGGCGACATCCGAATTCCGCACAACGCGGTCTCGAACCGCGTCCGCATACGAATATCCACCCGAGCCTTCGCTTCGGCAGAGTCTTTCCTGGCCGGGATCTGCCACTTTCCATAGACCCTCTCAGAGTCTGAAAACACGGACCGGGCGGAAGTTTGTTCACGCCCTGCTTGTTGACAAGAGACGCCGACCTCGTCAACTATCAGCAAGTCTTCTTCAACATCCATTATTTTAGGTAGAATAATTAAGCCGAGCCAAATTTCAAGTGTTCACTTCTTTTATTCATAAAAGAAACAAAATAACAAACAAAATAGTACAAATCAAAACCTAAAATAAAAATAACGAACGACCAGCCTCACTATATCTCAACTCGCGGCCTTTTATATGTTTTTATATGTAAATCTATACTCACATCTATACTCTTTTCCTATACTCAGAACAGCGCGTATCATGCGTCCCATATATTGCTATACTCCCTATATACAAAACAGCACATAGCATCGTCGCATATATAGCATATCAAATAACAAGATATACATGCATAGAATGTCTATTAAAATATATAGATATATACAGGCGGCACGCCTCAAAGACGCAATCATTATCGTCACAATTTCACAAAATATACAGGCGGCATATTTCAATCGCGCAATCATTGTCATCACAATCGTCACAATTTCACAAAATATACAGGCGGCATATTTCAATCGCGCAATCATTATCATCAAAATCGTCACAATTTCATCTTATTAAAATTGAAAGCAGACATCTTTCCATTTTTTTATAAATACAATGCAAATTCAAGAGACAACATGAAAGTTTATAAAATTTGGTTCAGCTTCAGATGATTATATATTCAAAAAAAGGTACTCAAATGTATGATTGTCAGCTATTGTTATTATAGTAATTAAGAGCAGTCATACATTTGGTATACATTCTCATGAATTTACATATCACGTTTATAACAATAACCAAAAAAAAGGAAACACAAATTA